AAATAAAATATATTCTTCCATTTAATTAAAAAAAAAAAAGTTTGATGAATTCTTGTTAAGAACAGTTTCAATCTAGCAAACCAATGAGTGAAAAGCCATTCCAAAAAGAAAGGGGAGAACTGAAATGATATTGGATGAATGATGAGAACATACCAAACTTGAATTAGGAAGGTTTCCAAATAAGAAGATATGGAAGCCCCTGAGTTTTTTGGAACAGCAACCTTCTCCCACACTTGCAAATGTTGATAAACATTAGTTCCATGAAAAAAAAAAAAAAGGTACTAATAAACATTTTAACCAATATAAACTTAAAGATCAAAGCTGAATTTCATGAACTGTTGCAGGAATACACTAAAAATTTTGATGTAACATCCTTAATATATTGAAAATATAGTTCAAGAATCAACATCATTGTTTATTTTTATTTTTCAAAGAATAAATAATTCTAATTTTTTAAATAAGATACATCTTGATGCGATAAATGAATCAAAAAATCTGAAAACTCGTGAGAGAAAAAACAATTACCAAGAATGTATAAAGCTTTCCTAATTAAGGCATGCACGACTTGATTTTTATATTCATAAATTCACAAAAATTTAAAAAAAAATGAAAGAAAATAAAAATAAACTTTGAATATTTGCACTAAAATATTTAACTTTGTATGTGAATGAGTCATTATAGCAAGAGATAGGAAGATATTTCTTGAATCTTTTTCTACTTAAAAGTGTTGAAGTCTTTTGAGATTATATGCTTCACTTTTCTATCTCTTTTTTTGCATATCAAATTCCCTACTGATATAATTCATAATTTTTATATTCCGTTTGGAAGTTAAGAAATAAGGTATTCAAAGAAATAGGTTTAACATTTGGTTTTATATTATTCTTAGAATTTGAGAAAACTCTTGTATATGTAGTATTTCTAGGCAGAAAGTTAAATGACTAAAAACTTAAATCCAAAATATATTAGTAATGAAAAAGATTATTAAGAATATCAGGTCTGAGATTTTTCAAAACCGAAACCTGCCCTGTTAGTTTAGCTAAATGGCCAATGATACGATCCATGTAAAGCACATAAAGTCCATTTCTGCTTTCCAGAAGCTCTATTTCCTTCTTAGCACGCAAAATTGATGACACCCACTCTTCAAGTAGTACTGCAATATCATTAACGTATTACCATTAATCATTATTTATTGTTTACTATCTCAATCATATCTAAATCATGAAAATTAAGGCAAAAACTTTCTATCAACTATTGATATGTTATGTCTAACTTACTATTGATCATTTATTCATAAGTAATATGGTACTAACAATAATGCAATATCATCAACGTATTACTATCAACTATTGTTTAATATTTACAATCTCAATCATATTCAAATCAAAAAAATCAATGCGACATTTTTAAAATATGTTGTACTCTAACTTACTATTAATTATTTTTTCATAAGTGATATGGTATTAACAGTTTTTTTAAAATAAAAGAATAGTTTATAATCAATATAATTGTAACAGCTCTTTTTTAGCCAGAAAAAAATTATTTACACTATTATATATTAGTGTCCAAGATTGAAGTGATCATAACTAATATAATATTTCAACAAAAACAAAAATATAGAACTATAAATTTAACACTTCTTTTATCCTTCAAAGAGAGTATAAAGTAGAGACTCTTAGTACTAGTTTAATACAATTAAGTAATCATAAATCTAAAGTAAAAAATGAAATTAAAGTTAGCAGATAAGAGAAAACCAATGCAAGATAATGACCATAAAGAATAAGAAGACAAACTTTAGTAATGAGAAGCTGGTCTCCTATTACTAGTCAATGTCAAACAATAATTTATTGGTAGTTAAAATAATAATTTGGCCATGTTACCATTTATTTTTATTTAAAGTACTTCATATTTCTATTTTGGTTCAATTAATTCATGTACTTTCAAAAAATATTTAATTTAACTATTTTCATTACTAATTATAAATATCATTAATTTAAATATCATGTGTTAAATTTATTAATAAGTACCATTTTTTGATTTGTTTAACTGCAAGTTAAATGTTACGTAATATCTGACATGACATTTAAAAATTATATATAAACAAGTTCAGACTAATTCGCAAATTAAAAGAGCTTAATTAGTCTGACCCTTACCCTAAATCCTCCTTCATCTCTGTTCAGTTACCTACTAGTGGTTGAAGTAAACCAGTGCCACTAAGGAAGAGAAGCTATTGGTCACTCAAGTACATTATCATTGAGCATCGCTTCTTCGTGTCCTTGACAAAACACTTGGCAAGGAAATCTTTTCCTTTTTCGAACAACTTACAAGGGATTCTCAACAATTTATCACAAGATCCATGCCATAAATCCTATTTCTTCTCATTTTCTTCTTTTCTCATCAATAAAACCTTTGAACAAACCCCTCCATTCTTTTTGCATTATTCTTCACTTTTTTCTCGTAATTATGA